CTCGTTCTGCTCTCCATCTCTTGTAGAATGTCATCTTTTATATCATTGACGTTATGACTACCCAAAGAGTATTCCAACCGTAAATAACCTTCATGACCTCGTTCTCGCAACTTCAATAAGCTGAGTTTTTTTTTTAATAACAATGGCCTTGCAAGTTAGCAGACAGCAGAAAACGCTAGTGGGGAAAAATTTCGTTCAAATTTTAACGATTTTGAATCCAAACATAGATGCTAATGCTATGTTGCACCGACTTCAGAAACAGGAGTGAGCGAGTGGTCGTTTACTTATTTCCGCAATTTGCTGTTATTATAAGCACCTCTCTTAATTTGTGTTCTCAGGGGGAACAGGAAGTTCTCAAGGGAGCAATGGAGACGCCCATACTGCACTATTAGGGATTTGAAAAAATGCTATCAAAAGGCCGTAGAGGGCCCCTCAAAACACTGCCCAGTGACTCAACAATCAAACATCCAGGGCTGCCCTAATATATGCCAACTCTGCCCCATATTTACGATGCGCACAGCATAACCTCAGACCTAGTCAAGAGTAGATTTGCACAAAAATGAATTGGACTTTCGATGGGGAATTTCGAAAATTCAGTCAAAGCAAAAAAGGCTGCAATAGTGTTTACGACACCAAAATTAAGCCGAAAAAACGAGGGCAAAGAAAACAAAAGCAATAGAGGTCAACTCAGACAGCGGTCTCTACGTAAAGGCTAGAATATCGCAAATGGATGATAAGCTCCCTATGGTCTGGTATACACGAGAAGAACGATGCCCCTGAGAGGTGCTGTAGCCCTATCTCTACAGGAAACAATCCCCGTGATCCCACATCCCGCAGTCTTGTAAAAAAATTCGATCTCAAGTTTGCGTGTTACCTTTAATTTAACTGGGATCCACTCTGGGTTTTCGCACAGCTAGGGACACCAAGCGCTCAAATTTACATTTTTCATGTGTAAATCGGGACTTTACAGTTTCTGATATCTTGTCGACTCTTGAGATGGAAAAGTTGAACAACCAGCTCAAATATCCACTGTTCCGTAAGTTATCGGCCCTCTGACTCAACACTGCTGCTTTTCTGCTTCGACTACTCTTAATTCAAATCTTGGTGAAACGTTCTCCCAAGACGACCGATTCCCCAGTCTCTCCTTTTGCGATTGTCGGGAACCGCGAAAGACTCCGCTACCTACGATGGTTACAATGGCGAAACTTTCCTTCCTAGCCGTTACTCGTTCCAGAGTTTCATCCAAGTTACCGACATATGTGAGGATGGTTACAGCACCCATCAAGCAGACCACTACGACAACCTAGTCAGCCCATGGGGATATGAACTCAATCAAGCAGCGAGCTATTGTGTCACCAGTCCTTCGCTCTAATCTCGTTTTGAAACATCTAGTTGATCTTCAAATCGTTCAGATCTAACAACATTCTCATCTACTCTAACGACGACACCGTCAAGGAGAGCATGAGTATTGTTGCGGTCTTCATTCATCCACGGAGTCCAAGAAACTCGACCGAGCATTTTGACTACTGATCAACCATATGATTCGGATTTCCAGAACATTTTTCCATGCTTCAAGAACTGAATTATAAACAGAAAACTCCATCATTAAGACAACGCAGTCATCCTATCTAAAGATTTGGACCGAATTGGACACATTGCGAGCTGTGCATTGCGAAGAACTAGAAGTAAAGTGTCGCCAGTCCTCCTTTCGCTCAAATCGCGTTTTGCAAAAAATCCAGTTGATCTCCATATATGTTCAGATTAGACGTCCTCCGCTGTAGTGAACAGAAGCGGCTCAAGAAACATGTGGTATTGATCGATCTTTTGCTATGATCCGAACTGCCACACCGACTTTCCCATTTCGATATATAACACGATGAAAATTGTAATTGCGGCAGATTAACCAGCCCATCCTAAGCTAAAAGCCGAATTAGTTAGATTGCGAATTTTGTTATTCATCTGGGGTTTTCGTTGAAAATCGGATCTTTGTTGTCGCCAGTCTTCCTGTTGTTCTAGTTGCATTTTGAAAAATCCAGTTGATCCCGATATTCATACTGCTTGAGCGACATTCTCAGCTGCTTTTCCGACGATACCGCCAATAAAGAGTAGAAGTTGCAATTGCTTCCATTCTATCCACAGCGGTCCCAAAAACACCCTCTAACGACGACCAAGCACTCTCATTATTGATTATTTATATGCCCAAATTGACTGCTGCGTATGCCAAAAATTGAAGACGAGGTAATCCAAACACTTCATGCTATTTTGTGATGACCGCTGGACCAGAGGGACCAGATCGCTCGAGAATTGAAATGATCATTATGACTACCTCCAGCTCGATGGTGAACCACTAACACAAGAACGAACGGAGACGTTACTTTCGCATGACCAACGGATTATAGGTGGGACTGAATTGCCAGAACAACATACCATCTCAAGAATAGACAAGATAAAAAGAAACAATGTTAGCAGGTTCCCTACTATCTGCTGCACTTGCACGGCCATCGTTAGCAAAGATCCTGCGGTTCAATTTGAAAGTATCGAAATGCGTCTTTAGATTGTATTGGTTTAAAGCATTCAAAAAAAAACTCAGCTCACTGAAGAAGCGAAACCGATATCAAGCAGGAATTTAGTTGATGGAATACTCGATAACTAATTCTAACGTCAACGATATGTGATGATAACATTCCCTGAAGAAATGGAGACAAGAACGAAGCAACTCACCATTCAAATGAAATTCCACGTAGTTACTCCTGAATTCCTGGAAGAAATTATTTGTCCAGA